ACGATTTTTATATGAACTTCTATGAATTGTACAAGATCTTATAAGTCGATTTTTTCAATTGTTTCACATTATTTTCGAAATTACTCTGACCGTCAAAACTACTATTAGAACCTTTTCTCTAAAGTACGCAGTTAGAAGAATTATTGTAACAAATACATGAGCGAAGCCATTCTCTATAGCTGAAAATATTGTCATCTCTATTTTCCATTTAATCTTATTTTCAATAAAACGAATCATTAAAAAAAATTCCAAAATCTAATTTTATGCTTGTGTCACTTAAGTTTGTGCCATTATCATTTTAATATTAATATTTACAAATCATGGAAATATGATTATATCTAATCAACATTAGTATATTGTATATTAATGGAGTAAATAAAACAAAATGACGTCAAAACAAGTGGAAGTAGATCAGTCAAAGTAAAAAAAGAGATAAATAGAACACGTATGATGGCTGAAAGAGTAATTGGCTCTTCAATACACCAATCAAAAATGATTAGATGTCACTGTTACTAATTTTTTCATTTGATTGTATTTCGTTTATGAATGGATCTATAAAGTAAATTGAATATGACTCAGGCCTTGTTAGCAGATTCTACTTCCTTTATGCATTTAATTTGGTATTTCAAATCAATAGCTCATATGAGATAATTTATGTACGATAAATATCTAAATTTATTTCACAACAGAATGAGACACTTCCTATTAAGAAAAAATTTCTGTCAGTATATATTTCAGACTGACAACGATTTTTCTGGTCCTGTTCTCTTGGATTTTTATCGAAGTGGTTTGTACCGAGAGGTTTCAAGCAGAGGTACTCCTAATCTTGAAAAATTTTCGTATTTCTTCAACGGAGTTCGAGCATTTTATTGTTTCTATTGCTCAATAATTACCAAAAAAAGCCGTGCATCCTGCACCCCAAATCTGATTAATTTCAGCTAGAATCTTCTTATTGACCTCCTGAGTTATCTCCCATCTGCTCCCTTCCCGCCCCTGATAATGCTGATCACCTTGAAGCACTCTTATTTGTGGCACGTTGACAAGACTACGTTGATGCCAATAATGGGCATATAATAATTTTGTTTCTTATTCAGTTCGCGACTGCATCGTGTGAAAGTGTTCTAGATTAATTCATTCCCATATCAGCTCGTGCGTGCCTCATACGTTCGTTAGATTGCGGACGCACACCGTGTGTGTCATGCACTGTATAACTACTCACGAGCTGAGATGGGAAGATTTTATACAGATGTCACTGGTGGGAAGTGCATCTACTAAAAATTAGAAGAAAGCAATGTCTTAGAATCTCTCTGACAGTATACGAATTAAAAGTAAATTAAACAATCTGATTGATATTTCCACGTAGCAAAGCCAACTATATTATTTAATTCAACTTTAATTTATGTAGAGTATCAATATCAAGGTCTTTTTGATCTCTTTATAGTTTATAGATATGACACACACTAGTGAAAATTCTTCTACTCCAATAGTTGCTATTGTGGGTGCTGGACTCGTACGTAATCATTACAAATAAACTTTCAATAACAAAATCATTAAATTGATTCTATAGGGTGGTACTTTATGTGCTTGTTTTTTCGCTAAACATGGCTTTAATGTTCATTTATTTGAATTACGATCAGGTCTGTCTTAATCATTTGTATATCATATAAATAAATGATTTTTATGATTTAGATATTCGTACACAAAAAGTGGTTAAAGGACGTAGTATTAATATGGCATTATCTCATCGAGGTCGTAATGCTCTTGCTTATATCGATTGTGAAAATATTATTGTTCGAAATGGTATAGCAATGCGTGCACGAATGTTACATGATGTTAAGTGTCGTACAAAGGCTGTACCTTATGGTAGTCGTCCAGAACATGTAATATATTAAAAAGAAAAAAAAGAAAAAGTAGAATTTTCTTCAAATAATTTTCTTTATCTATTAAAGGAAAATATATCAATTGATCGTCGTATTCTTAATGAACTTTTACTAGATGGTAATTTTATATTTTGTATAATTTTTATTTTTTCTATCATTGTTTTTTTTTGTAGAAGCGAATAAATCTTCGAAAATAAAAATTTATTTTCAACATAAGTTTATCAGTTGGAATCAAGAAGAAAAAACTGCAACATTTCGAAAGTATAAATCAACAAAAAGAAAAAAAAAATTGTCGTTTAATAATTTTCATTTTTTATTATAATTAGTAAATCTGGTGAATATATTGATTTTAAAGCCGATGCTTTAATTGGTTATGATGGGTAAATAAAACAAAATACTTTATTAAATTATAATAACATAAAAATTAATTTTAGATCTTATTCAGCTGTTCGTACAGCAATGATGAAAATAGATTCAATTGATTTTTCTCAAGAATATATTGAAAGTCATTATATGGAATTTTGTATTCCATCCAAAGATGGTGAAGTAAATAAAATCAAAAGAATTTGTTTTCTTTTTTGAAATCTTTTATTTTATTAAGTTTGCTATGGAAATAAATTATCTTCATATATGGCCACGTCATGAGTTTATGTTGATTGCTTTACCAAATCAAGATAAAACTTTTACAACAACACTTTTTTTACCATTATCTATTTTTAAAAAAATAACAACAATTGATGAACTTCTAACATTTTTTCAACAATATTTTCCTGATGCTATTTCATTTATTGGACGAGAAAATTTAATTGAAACATATTTTTCATCCAAACCATTACCACTTATTTCAATAAAATGTTCATCACATGTTTCAACAAATGGAGATATTTTAATAATGGGTGATGCTGCACATTCAATGGTTCCATTTTATGGACAAGGAATGAATTCAGCATTTGAAGATACATTAGTTTTATTTGAAAAATTAAAAGAAAACAATTTTCAATTGTCAAAATCATTTTATGAATATAAGTAAATATTTTATTTAATTCAAAAGAACTAAAATAAATAATTTTTGATCTAGTAAAACTCGTATACCTGATGCTCATGCAATTGTTGCTTTATCTATGTACAACTACAATGAAATGCGTCATTTAGTGACTCTACCTTCATATTTTTGGCGTAAACAAATCGATCATCTTTTATATCGATTAATACCAAACTGGTGGATACCTTTATATACAATGGTAGCATTTACAACAATTCCATACCAACGATGTGTACAATTACGTCAACGACAAGATCAAATACTAAAAATAATTCGTATTATTGGTTTTTCTATTACTGGAATATATTTAATCAAACGATATGCATTCACTATTATAAAACCCATAGCTACTAAATTTATTGTGCAAAAGATTTTACCAAAATTTGCAGCTGATCAAATAGTTTAACTGGTTTCATTTTCGAGAACTATTTGAAACTTGTTTTTTTTTCAAAATTGGTATTTTTCTGATAGAAGTGGTTTTTTTTGTTACTAAAAAAAATCATTCAAAACATATCAGTTATGATCCTTAATATTAACTTATACATGCTTGAATAAATACAACGAACTGTTCATTTTTCATTTTCATTTTATATTTATAAATGAACTTGACTTTTTTTCTTTTTCAAGAGACATAAATTACATACGATCAGAAATTTGCTTGATTTAATTTCTAGGAGTTCCAAACGTTAAATGTTCTCAATAAACATTTTTCTTATCTAAATATTTTTCAACAAAGAATAGCCTGTAAAATTTTATTTATGTAAAGATTTTCAATAGAACACGAATTACACTTCAATTGATTTATTGGAATATAAGCAAGCTATTATTCAATTTTGTTTAAAATTATCAGTCTAAATAAATTCGTATAAAAAAAAACATTTTAATATTCATCTTTTGTTCTTAACATCAATTATGAATAACGAATACTTATTCACTCGATATCATTCTTACATAAGATGCATTTTAATAAATTTCTCAAATTAATAGTTGATCAATTCTCTGTTCATATTGATCATATTGTTTCTCGTAATCAAGGAAAACAATATGATTCATTTGAAGTTGTATGAATAACTATCTACCAACAACAAAATCCTTGCAAATCGTATTTTTGATGGATAATTCCATCGAGGACCAATTGCAAAAGACACACCGTTCTCAGGACATTTTTTTCGTTTATCAAACTTTTGTAGAGTCCGTTACGCTGATCGTTTTTGTTAAACAAACTATTCAAATTTACCCAATACATCATGGTGCTAAGAGCAAAATACTGAAAAGCTTCTACTATTCCCGATTGGTGCATCATGATTTATTGAGTAAACTTGAATATTTTTTTTAACCAAAATGATCAGTGTAACGAGTTCTACAGATGAAAAAAATCTTCTGAGAACCTTTTGTTTTTTGCAGTTGACTATCCGTGAAAGTATTCATAAAAAAAAACCGGTTCATAAGCATTTTATTGTTGGTAATATTATAGAATCATGATATATGATAAATAATTGTTGTCAATCTGTTAAAAATTCCCACGACATAAGATGAGTAAATATTGATGAAATATCTGAAATAAACATAATATTCGAAAAAGAGACTATCACGTAATCAATAGATAAGTTATTATTAGTTCTATGATGCGCAATTCAATACTTGAGTTTCAATTTGTAGACAATAAAAAAAGTCACTTTCACTTTATATTACTGATAAACATTGCCTTCAGATTTTGATAATGATCTTAGATATACAAGTCAAAAACTAAATTTTCGTTTTGACAGACATATTTATGTACGAAAGTATTATTTAATATTATTTTCTTCTTTATTCTAAAACATGAAAAGATTGTAATATAAAACGACTATTATTCAATAGTTTGAATTAGTTAAACGATCAACGAATAAATGATCAAATATCTTTCAGTTTGATATAAGAGTAATTCACTAATGTAATGATATAACAAAAATTAAAACTCAATATGCTGTTCACATAAACAAAACAAAAAAAAGTTAAAATAATTTCCCATTGAAATTTCAATTGAATAATAAATTTTATTAATAGTCAAAGAAATATTATTCTGGTCCTCGTTAAATTTATAAAGAAAACTGCCACATCATATATTGCCTACACAGCAAACAAATAAAATTAGTGTCTACAAAACAAAAAACACATACACACGTATACGTAACATTGTATAACCCTAAAACTAAATTTTTTTAGTCAAAATTATTGAGAAATAAAATTCTTGTTTCATTTTTGAATTTCAAATTTGCGTTACTTCAACTATTTCTTCAATAGTATTGGATGAATCTTGTATATTATTATTATTATTATTATTATTATTATTAATATTTTCATTGAATGATGAATCTGTACCTAAGTGACTAATCACAAATTTTTGATTATCATCAGATTTTTGATAACGTTGATTTAAAATACACATGAATGTAATTGCTAATATCTGTAAGAGAGCACAAAGACTTGTAACACCACCAATTATCCAAAATTCAAAAGTAATATATTTATTAATAATTGGATAACAACCATTAGTATGCATCAATGATACTGTATTATTTGAACCATTATTATTATTAATACTAGTATCACGCCAGCAATTTGATACACGACAACATGATGAAGGCAATAGATCAAGTGAAAGATTATTGTAATCATCTTTGCTATTAATTCCACAACATGTATATTTTGATTGAAGAATATCAAGTGAGTTTGTTGTTATTGATGGTGTTTGTTGAAGAGAACGAATGAGTAAAATATTTAATTGTGGAAAAATTACATAATAATAGAGAAATAATATAGTAAACATAACAAGATTAATTGCAACTGTAAATACCTACATATAGAAGAAATTACATGTATACATATATAGTATTTAGAAAAAAAATTTCAATTCAAAACTAACCCATGAAATAGCAACAAATAATGCTAAAGGTCTATTTCGTTTAGCCATGCCATAAATAGAAAAGAGAGCTAATATTAATGAAATAAAACCTAAGCCAATAAATATATGAAGAATATATTCCAGAATTGAATCAATTTTGTCTGTTTTGATAAGACGATTGATTATAACTATATCAAATTGAATGAAAGTTAAGTAGATACCCAAACAAAGTTGTACAAGACTTGCCAATCCAATGAACGCACATAGAGTACAGAAAAAACAAGCAACATTAAAGCAACAAGCCATTCTCTATTACGTTATATGAGGTGTGTATGAATGTAAATGCTCTTATTCTCAAAAGGATAATAAAGGCTGATTCGAATTCTCTCTCTCTCTTCTCACATAAATATATGTATATGGATATGTATATGTATATATACACACCTATATATTCTTTTGTTCTTTTCTTACTGAGCCATAACACAAGAGCCAAAATATGAGAAAAAAAGAGTTCATATTGTCTTACATCTTTTATAAATTTTCTTTCCCCTCCCTTACTCACAGCTAAATAACGTACTGTAGACAGATGCATACCTATGTAAGAAACTCTTTTTGTTTGCTCTGTTCTTTATATTTTCTTCTTTCTCAAGATAAAATACTTGATGCCGTAGTCTGTCTATGTCTCTTTATATGTTTGTATTTATTTAATGTAAGCCAACTGAACATGGTTCTATTTCCATAGCAGCACAAGAAAGAAAAAGAAAAAGTGAAAAGCATATGATTTGAATTTGTGTATACACACGTGTATGTCTGACAGACAACTTTAATAAAACTTGTTATATGTTCTCTTGCTTGAAATAAAATAAAATAGCTTTTGTTTAGTAGTTTACTATATATAAAAGAGAATTAGCGACGGTTGAATACGATGACAACGGTCAAACGATTGTTATTTGGTATTATATTTAAAATATCAAGATTATAGAAAAGAAGAGACAGAATATAATTGAGAGAATCTTTGAATCGATTCATATGAAGTGAAATGATATATGTATATTATTACCATTACTTCGGATATCATCATATCAAAATTTGAAAAGAATATTTTTATTATTATCAATACAAAAAAAAACCCATTAATATATAATGAAAGAAGTTTCTCGAATTCTAAAATAATGAATGTAAACATCATATTACTAATTAAGTTATTATCATCTGAAGAGGGTGTTGTCACGTGCTATTTTATTCTGGTTCTTATTTAGGCTTCTATCAGCATGTGTCATAAGTGGTGGTTGCTGTTTACTAACCAGAATCATTCTGAATAATATGTGTCTATGTATACAGTAGCAATTACCGATCTCTTACTTTATTCTATATACATCTTCGTCATAGTTTGCCTCCAAAGAATATTAAGTAAAAGTCTGTTTTCAACCACAAGCAATGTAATTGGCTAGAAATAACTGGGTTTTTTTACATATTGGCTGTAGGTTTTTTTTTCCTTTGACACAAAATATGTTTCTTTTTTTGGAATTCTAATTATAGATATTGCCCACGATCTATGTTTTCCTATTTCAGTAAAACAAGAAATGACAAGCAAAACACCCACTCGTATGGATAGAAAGCGTACAAAGAGCGTGGTGCAATACACTGGCAACATATATCTAGACGTGTTTTGTAGCTAGTTAACATTCTTTTTCTTGATCAATACAATCGACAAAATAAGATGGCATTAGATCGCGATATTCAAGGCAAAGTATGAATAATATATATTGTAATGGTTGAACAGTTGATTTATTATTGTTATTTTATTTATTTAGATGTCCTACAAACGAGATCCTGAACAAGAAAAAGCAGCACAAGAATGGGTCGAAGCTGTAACTGGTGAAAAATTTCCATCAAACGATTATGAAGATGCTCTTCATAATGGAATCATTTTATGCAAGTAAGATTCGATTATATTGTAAATATTTTTTTGTTATAATTTAATTTCTATTTAAGATTAATGAATAAACTCAAACCTGGTTCTGTACCAAAGATTCATTCACAAGGACCTTCAATTAAATTACGTGAAAATATTGGTCTTTTTCAAGAAGCTGCACGTGCTTTTGGTGTCAATCCCAGTGAATTATTTCAAGCTGTCGATTGTTTCGATAAACAGAATATTCAACAAGTGACGGTACGTTTTTTTTTTGTTTTGTTAATAATCATGATTATTTAATTAAAATAATTTCATTGGTCTTGTTTAGCAATGTATTTTTGCCTTAAATCGTGTTGCTCAAAAGAATAATTTAAAGGTACCCAAATTGAACTATCAAACCAAATTACCTGTCTACGATTAAATAACTTATAAAACTGAAGAAAGAAAAAAAAACCTTATTAACGATTTGTTATTTACCACTTTCATTTTTTCTTCATTAATAAATCTAATCTAGATAAACAAATAATAAATAACTATGCTTTTATTTTCTATTGATAAATTTGGCAGTAATATTTTATTACATATAATATATTGCCTCATAAATAGAGTATTTTAAATTTGATGAATATATTTTCATTTTGATATTTGTACTTCAAGTAATGACATTTTGTTTTTGAAAACATCGTCACGGAAATTCAAGACCACTCGTATATAAATATATATTATTGCCTAATATTTTACTATTAGGACACTATAAATAGAAGCATGATTAAGATAATCAATTTAAAATAAAAGTTTAAAGTGTCGTACCAAAAGATCGAAAGTCTCTTTAAAAATATGCTAAATAATTCGCTATTCATTCAATATCGTTTGCATAACTTAAAAAGTTTTCTTTATTATGAGATATTTCATATGTTCGAAGAATTCGTATTGTTAAATTTGAAAATAATAGAACTGTTTCTTATATTTACATACATGATTGAACAAACCAATACGCCTTATTTGTTATTTAGTAGATAGAATCAAATTACAATCAGTCAATAGATAAAATAATGTAATTGCTTCAATTTCTTAACATACGTTAAATATTGTATCAAACTTCGTTAAATTCTAATGATATTTTATCTGTGATTCTGCAATTAAAAGCACATACCAATAAATTATTGATACAAGTTCATTTTAACTTTCGATAGATGTACTTAGATATTTATATTTTCATGTGATTTATCAAAAACTATTCTTCATTATATATCTGTCGGCTTCTCTTTTTTACTACCTGTTCATTTTTGTAATTCTGTCTATAAAATAAATCTGATTAAATCAAAAGATACAATATTTGTTTTATTCAACAAAATGAACAACTATTTCTATATATGATATTATTTTCTTTTTTTTCAAAAATAGATAAAAACATTATAAATTATCATATCTAGTCCAACTGAGCTAGTGTCAAAGGACAGTGACAATCTCCAATCATGGAAGTTCTCATTTACTTCTCCAAGAAGGCCGACATTTTTTCTTTAATTTCATTAGAAAATGTCTTTTTTTTTGGTCTCCTAAAATGGCAACATATATCCCAATACTAATTACATTGACTAGGCCCTGCTGAAGTTTTTCCTCTTTGCTACTATAACATTCACTAAATACATACATTTTTCTACGACGAACACTTCAACCGTGAAAAAAGAGTACAACTCCTACTGGAAATGCTAAACGTCCATAACTATTGTTCATGATTTATTTTTGGCCGTAATTCATCATTCCAAATTATCGAATGTTTCTGACTGGGACGTAAACAACGCCGTTTAAGGCAGTTTCCATCAAAAAACGATGATTAATATTAGGACCCTGTTTATATCGTTTCTTTTTTGTCGTATATGGCTTAATTCAGCTACTTATATTAGATTCCACGAAGCATTCAACGTATATTTTCTGTTATTATGAAACGTTTTATCTGATACATAGGATTTATGTGGCAAAGCACAATGAAAAATTCTTTAAAATAAATGAATTGTCATTCACAAATGTATGGAGTTCAAAGAGAATACTTTTTTTTGAATCAGAGACTTATTGCGAAGCCATTTTTCAATATTTACAAACGTATACGAGATGTTATTTCAATATGAGACAATTAAGTTAAGAGTTAGAACTATAAATAAACTCCACATATAGTATCTGGAATATAAGAAAATCAAGGTTCTCTCAACTATCGTATTCACTTATGAAGAAAGATAGCAAATGGAGAACATGCGAAAATGTGTAATTTTTCTCGATAGTTTGATAATCGAAATTATATTGATAATCGAGTGACTTAACAGAAAGATATTTTTGAAGGATATACATTATATTGTCGAATAGGTCTCAACAATATTTATTAATTGATATAGAGCTCTAGAAAAGCATTGTAGTGTGGTGCACTTAGAATTTTATTTATTATAGATCGTCAGAGATTATCTAACAATGTTTTTTAAAATATTTTAATTCGGTGTAAAAGCGATATGGAAATTGTGGATTCTGTAGTGTGTTTCTAGGCATCTATTGTATCTTTTGGCATTTTCGCTGACTACATTTCTCTAAACGCTAAATAGCAATAATACTTTATGTTTAAATAGTTCAACATAAAAAAGAATAATATCTACAAATATCAACAAAGTTTTCTTTAGCATGTTTTATATTTACGGATTTTCTATTTCTGATGACTTTAATTAATTTTCTCGGATTTCTCTGAATCATTAACTATCGTTTCATAGTCTGATGGGATCTAGTGAATATTTTGAATGTCCGTAGATCAGAGTGAGTTCTATAGTAGTTCTTATTCATTAGAATTAATCAGAAAGTATTATTCAAGCATTATTTTTCTCTAAAACAAAAATTTAGTAAAAAATCACTGTAAAAAGTTGATTTTAAGAAATAAGAGCAGTGATGCTATCAACATGGTTTTTTTCTAATCGGTGTAATCAGTACTTGTTGTCAAAAAAAGTTTAAACTCGCTTATAACACATTGTTGTCATTTATACTGTTCAAGTTCTGTAGAAAAGCTTCAAAATTTTGCCATAAAAAAATCTCAAGATAATAATAAACAAAATTTGTTGCTATTAAAAAAAAATAAGAATGAGAAAATAATCAATCCTTGAACTCACTATTCTTATAAATT